TTGAATTTGGTTGATTTGTTTAGATAACTTTCTTGTTGGAGTACTTAAAAATATTGGGTGACGACAGTAAACACTGTTCAGTGATTTTTTGTTGCCTTTTAGTTGATTTTGGTTAGATTTTCTACGAATGTAAAGTAACGTTATGATACCTCTACATATTAATTTATTATGTACCTTCTATGTAGTTCAGTAAAATGGTTGCCTATTCAGACATTACATAAGATTCTCTTGTAGTAGATTTCAAGACGTCCACCGCAAGTTGTTTAAGCGAAAAATAATATAGATTCTTACTGAAGTCTTAAAATTGAACATGTTTTTCTCAAATTTCCTTTTTTTATACCTGAGATTGCAAATAAGTAAATAATACTAAGTACTAGTTAGTATACAATCACCTCAAACAGGTAGGCATAGTACCTACCAACGAGTACCTTATACACATTAACAAGTCCATCACCCGAATGCCTTACCCGTCCCCAAAGTAGTCAAAACGGAGGAAATTAAACTTCCTCGCACTAAAGTAAGGTAAGCTGCCAAGTGCCAAGTAAGTCCTTGCCTAAAATTGCTAAAGTTTCAGTGCAACTAGCTAATATTACAATGTATCGCAACGAACATGCTCTTATGAGGATTACTGTACGTTGTTGTTGAATAGAGAAAACTTGTGAATTTTTAATTACAACAATTTATTGAATAATTCAGGCTGGGTTGCACCATTTTACTTTAACTTTAACAAACGTCAAAAATCTGTCAAACTCCATACAAAAAATGATTATAATACTGTTGCTAGAATTAAATTCATGTACTTCTTATATGTACAGTTAATGTAGAGATATAAATAAGTAGGAAAGTATCATAACCTGGTAAGTATCTGTAAACGATATCACATGAAAAATAACATATTAACTATCCGACAGTGGAATAAGAAGTCTAATTATTATTTTAGTCTTTTAATAGCAATTAGTACCCAAAGTAAGTTGCCTTGACTAACTCCCTATGCTGAGGTTAACAAAATTGCCAAATATTATTTTAGGCACAGGCTTACACGTGTCCCAAAAAATATTAAGCAAAACCGTCATCTCAGCGTTCCGGGAAATATACATAGGAGATGTTCTGTCACCGTGAGCATTCGCGGCGAACACAAAAACGCAAATGCTCCCATCACCCGCAACATTCATGTAAGTGACACCTGAGTTTCCCGCCCAATAACTGAATATATATTCCTTTGTAGACCCTGGAATGTTTCCAAGAAAGAGAAAATCAACTATTCAAAGGCATGACGCATGACAGAAACTCTAGCTTGTGTTATTTCGTTACGGTAGGGAAATACGGAGTTTGATTCTGAACGAGTGAAGAGCTTCCGCGCTTCTTTATTTACCTTGCTTTGTACAATTTCTGCTTTGACCAATTTCAGGGGCACGCGGTTGCGCGACGAAAACTAAATGTAGCTTGTTTTGAACACTTTCTTTATTTATTTATATTTTCCAGAGCCTTCATCCTCGTGACTTTCGGATTGTCACAAAGGCCTTCCGCTTCGACCCGGCGCGAGCGGTGCACCAGCTCAGGTGGGAGGTCAACAAAGTCACAGGGACAACGTGTCCACGTGTTCCCATTTTAAAAACTGGGATAAAGCTATTGTATGTTTTTTTCTGGGTCTCAAACTATCTCTTTACCCATTTATATATATTCCTAGTTTAAGCATGAAAGGTAACAGACAGACATCGTTACTTTTATATTTATAACTAGCTTTCCGCCCGCCCGTGGCTTCGCCCGCGTGGTATTTTGTCTGTCACAGAAAACTTTATCGCGCGCGTCCCTGTTTCAGGTAAAAACTCATATTTCCTTTCCCAGGACTCAACTGTCTCTATGCCAAATTTCATCAAAATCGGTTCAGTGGTTTAGGCATGAAAGCAAGACAGACAGAGTTACTTTCGCATTTATAATATTAGTAGATATCAGAACTCGGTCGGACCTAAGACATTACATTTGCTATCTCTAAATTATCCGCTGTTTGATTCATTACACTCAGAAACTGAGGCTTACCTCACAATAATGAAAGATTTAAGGTCATTGCCAGAGCTAGTACTTGAGCGTTTAAACCAGGCAATATTGGATTAAGAGTATTATTAGAACGGCGGGATTAATTTCCTTAATCACAGCCATCGGATCAGTTCATCAGCCATCAAAATGGAACAGACATTATGGCTCTTACGAACATCACACGTGTAGTGAGGAGACATATACGTTGTAACTTAGATATCGATGAAGTAAACCATTTTAAAATAATTTCAGTATTTATCTTTTAACATCATTGGATAAGTAAAATACTTTATTGAACAGATCAGATGTTGTGAGCGTTGTGATTCGTCAGAAAAACTTTAACTGACCAGTAACTTGGTTCCCTGGTTTATTGATTAGTGTGTAATATTCAAACTAACAAAATAAATTGGAAAATAAAAGGTCTTATTCGAATATTATTTAGTTCGTTCGTTTCAGCCAAAAGACGTCCACTGCTGGACAAAGGCCTCCTCCAAGGTTTTTCACAATGCACGGTCCTGCACTGCCCGCATCCAGGCTCTTCCCGCGACCTTTACCAGATCGTCGGTCCACCTAGTAGGAGGCCTGCCCACGCTACGTCTTCCAGCCCGTGGTCGCCACTCGAGAACTTTTCTGCCCCAACGGCCATCGTCTCTACGAGCTATGTGCCCCGCCCATTGCCACTTGATTTTAGCAATCCTGCGAGCTATGTCGGTCACTTTGGTTCTCCTGCGGATCTTCGCATTTCTGATTCAGGGAAACTCCAAGCATGGCCCGCTCTATCGCCCTTTGGGTGACCTTGAGCTTTCTTATGAGGCCCATAGTAAGCGACCACGTTTCAGATCCATATACCATCACTGGCAACACACACTGCTCGAAGACTTTTGTCTTGAGACACTGCGGTATTTCGGACGTGAGTATATTGCGTAGCTTCCCGAACGCTGCAATTGCGCTGAAATTGGAAAATAAAAGGTCTTATTAGAATATTATATAGTTCGCAAGTGAAATATTTGATTTTAACTCCAATTGATTGATTGCTTTCCCGTTTTCATTTAAGTGTAAAACTTTCAGACGATCTAACCACGCCCATTTTATCGACAATCATTAATCTCATCACTAGTACAGCCATATCGTGCGACTCGTAAACGCGAACTGCTCATTATTTCCAAATTTAACGATGATTGCCCACACGTCGGCGCAATTCCGCGATATTAGGCTGACTAAACGACGGCGAATTCAAAAATACCTCGGAGACACGTGTCTGTGTGCACGTGAAGGTAATACCAAACTACCCTCTTAGTTTGTGGTAATGGTAACGTGGGGTAGCATTTGACCGATGGGAAGAAAACTATCTCGAATACTCCAGCTGCTTTGGAAAAAGTAAAATTCGTGAAAGATTTATGCCCGTATTCACAAACGATGCTTGCTTAACTGAAGCAGCAAATCGAACGCACAGCGTTGAATAGAGCTCTGTGATTGGTTCGTCTGTCACCTTGTGCGTCCACGCGCACTGTGAGACCTCACATGTTTGTGAATACGGGCGTTAGTCTGGGTTTCATTATCTTACTTTATCTTTAACAAACGTAAAAGTCTGTCAAACTCCACACAACAACGGTTATCGTTAAAGTTACAGTCAAAGTAAGATGGTCCAACTCAGCCTTAATTTAACGGAAAGAAGCTATTTTAATCATCTGTTACTGCCTTTGCATCGGAGGGAGTTAATATCATATTTCAAACATCTAGTATTCTTATGATGATTTTTTTTGCGGGTTCCAAGACAAAAGTTGTTCTCCTGGACTACTCAACCTTTACTGATTATGTTTCATTGAACTTACAGGACTTATATTGGTGGGATTATTTATAGTCCCGAGGAAGTCTACAGAACTTACTCGGGTAATGTGTCAACTGGACCATCGAGAACAGCCAATATAGAGCTAACTTTTAAAGTTAGTACCTACTTTAAGTAGTTACATGAGAATATGAGCTCAAACACAGCATCATTTTCATATTTATGGTGTTCATTCGTTTCAGCCGAGAGACGTCCACTGCTGGAAAGGCCTCCCCCAAGGATTTCCACAATGACCGGTCCTGCGCCGCTTGCCGTCGCGGGAAGAGTCTGGATGCGAGCAGCGTAGGACCGTTCATTGTGGAAAGCTTTGGAGGAGACCTTTGTCCAGCAGTGGACGTCATTTGGCTGAAACGAACCAACGAATAAATGTTCTATCGAACCATTATGTACCTAAAGACAAAATAACTAACGTAGATAATATTGTAATGCGTGCATTAATTGTGCTAATTAATGCACTAATATTAGTTTTTTTTTACATTAGCACCAGATGGGATCTGAACCCGCAATTACACGTAACTCCTATTTTGTGACGTGATGTTATACAGGGATCAGGTATTCTGAGCCAAAGACTATCAAAATAACATTAAAAACAAGTCAGTATGAGTTTAGGAATATTCACGATAAAAATAAACACTTCCATGAATTTGTTATTCCAGACTTCCAGAGCCATTATTTGAAACCCAAATTATGTTTTTAGAAGTAAATATACTAAGAGCGAGAACATCAATCATAATTACTTTTAAAATAGCCGCGATCGAAATATCTATACTTTTAGGTGAAACCAAGCAGAAAGAAAACATGAATATCTTAGCATCTTAAACACAGTATTAGTAATGATACAATGTAAAAAATAAATAAAGAAATCATGCAATATGTAGTTTTAGCTCTCTACGGTTGGATTGCGTGAAAATCGACGTAACAATTCAAACTCACTGAACACTTTCACGAGTATTTATCACTTAATTATCACTTCAGGACTTCGTGTGCTAACTGTCGCCGGAAAATCATTCCGCGTTCGACTACTGTGTGACACTGGCCGGTTACAAGTAGATTAAACAATAATCTGGCAAAAAAGATTAAAACCTGTTCGGAATTTTAAGTGTCAAAGTGTCATTTTTAAATCAGAGAAAAAAAAAACACACTGGCCACAAACTCTTTGCTGAAAAGAGGCAACGATTTATTTTTAAAACGTCGAGAATACTTTTTAATCCCGCAACGTCGAAGCAAAGGAATCGAGCACGAGGGAAATAAGAGGATGAACGTTTTAATTTTATTCCTGGTTGCATTATCTGTGTCCTGTGTGAGATGTGGGGAGTTAGCCGCGTCGGGAGACGAGGCCAGGGGGAAAGGGAAATATGCGTTGCTCAGTGAGTATTTTATCAACTTTATCTATAGGTACTTATAGACTGGGTTGCACCATCTTACTTTAACATTTTTAGTGGGACCCTGTCCTTTTCAGGACGGAGCATCAGGGCGCCGGGAGACCAACACACCACCCTGTCCCCCGGCAGTGGTGAAGATGCGCAGAGCATTTCCTCCGCGACAAAAAAAAACTTACTTCAACATTAACAAACGTCAAAAATCTGTAAAACTCCATACAAAAAACACCGGTTATCGTTAGTTACGATTAAAGTTAGACGGTGCAACTCAGCTTAAATCTTTGTTTGTTTGCTTGAACGCGCTAATCTCAGGAATAATTTTTCCGATTTGAAAAGTTTTTTTTTTGTGTTGAATAGCCCATTTATTGAGAAATACTCAAGGCTATAAGTATTTAACATCACCCTACAGCCAATAGGGGCGGAGCAGTAAAGAAAAATGTTGCAAAATTGGAAAATATTATTCAAACTAAGTATTTTCACGCGTACGAAGTCGCGAGCACAGCTAGTAAAAGATGAAATAGATAGCAAATAAATACTACTTTGATACAAAACGAGTAATTAAATACAAAGACCTTTGGAACAAGTCTTTTGCAAAAGTTGCCTTTACAAATATTGTTTTGTTTATTTCAACTTGGCAATATTATCGGCTTTTAACTATTTTACATAATTTTGAATTATAAAGGCTTGAAATTTGAAAACTTTTTCAATTAGTTATTTGGTTAAATAATAACTTTTTAATCCGTTACATTCGGATAGTTAGACCGAGTCGTATGTAATTACAGTGGTGACTGAGTTTGTTGCGGCGCTTCTTCTCAGCACTTGCCAAATGTTGGTCTCGAAGCGCTGGTAGGGTAAAAAGATTATGAGATATGTAGAGGCTCCTTAAGAGCATATGACGATTTGTAAGAACTACTTATTAGTCTAAACAAATAAAGAAATTTTGACTTTGACTTTGACTTTGATTAAAGAGTTCAACTTAATTTAAAAAATACCTTCCACAATTATAATTCTCTGTTTCGTATCGTATCGTTTCAGCCAAATGACGTCCACTGCTGGACAAAGGCCTCCCCCAAGGTTTTCCACAATGAATTCTCTGTTTAGTTAAACATTAATATGATGCCTTCCAGTGTAGTTATCTTATTAAATTATAATGACATTTTACAAATAACATTTGTATGTTGATTTGCCAATTATTTATCTCTGTATCTGTACTTCTGTAGTCCAGTCATTTGGTAGTTTCGTTCCAGGTAACCACGTTAATTTGTACCAAATGACTGGACTACTGAATCCAACTGGATAATTATTTTCAGTGTGGTATTAGTACGCAAAAGTGTGTCCCAATAACAAGATTTTCATTTAAAACTGTTCTAGTAGGTAAAAACTCTTTCATTATTATAAACCTGGAAAGACAGGATTAAATTGCAAAAGTAACTAGGTACCTTATCCTCCACCGAGCCAGTGTTAAATTACACGTAATGGAAAGAAAATAGGAAAATAGTTAATAGTTAAATATAAGTTCCCGGCGACCAGTGTCGCCGTGTCGCGTTCAGCTTGGAACACTAAAGGACGTAGCACACTAGCACACTTTTTTAACGGGACTATTCTCACCTCTCGTTCCCACCACTGCATCTCCTGTGTAGCCAGGATCTACAGCTGAACCCAACCAATGAAGGTCAAGTTTGTCCTGGGGGAAAGTTAAACTGTCATAGGGAGAGACTATGCCATTGTCGTACAGAACAACGTGTGTTCGAATCACACGTTCCACTGCTGGATTATTTTGAACCCACTTGTAACACAAAAGCATATTTAGCTAAATAAGTATGGATTGATGGGAATTATAATTATTTGTTAATCAAGATTCTAAGTAGGTACATCCCAGATGTTTTAAATAAATGACATATTTATTTTACACTTCAATTTCAGCCGCAAACTCTACATTTTCAAAATAAAGATATATGCAACTACTAGTATTTTAATTCATCGTTCGTTCGTTCGTTCGTTTCAGCCGAAAGACGTCCACTGCTGGACAAAGGCCTCCCCCAAGGATTATTTAGGATAGGATTTTAATTCATATCTTGTTTTAAAATGACTCCACGATCTTATAAAAAGCCGGTAGTAAGAGTCCACCCTTATGATTGGCCTGGGGAGATTTAAATCTGAATAGTTTCAATTTTAAAATTCCATTGGCTGATTTTATTAGAGCTGCATTTTGTAGGTGTCATTTGCACGCGAAAATTACTTTCGAATTGATAGGATAGAGAAAAAGTTTCTTTTGGATTTAAAATTAGCTACCATATTGAATTTAGTGTTTTATTAACGAGGTGCTATTATTAATGTGTGATGATAAAAGATTGAATGTTAAGGAGTTTTTGCCGTGCACTACCTTTGTAAGAATGTGACTAAAAACTGGGTGGGTGACTGACAAAACCTAAAAAAAATTTGCTCTTTGGAGATCCCTAGATGTCCATCACTATCGTTTTTAAAGTCTCAACAAAATATTGTCATTCATCAATATTGTGTAATAGTCAGTAGTAGTAATATTGTTACTTAATGTTAATTTGATAAGGGAGAGCGACTCCTTCTGGTACAGGTGCCATTGCACTTACAAGAAATAGTCCACCTCAAATCCTATTAATTGTTGTTGTTAACGAAATAAACATTTTTCATTTTTCATTTTCAATATTAATAGGGATTCGTCTAGCACATGTTAAGCCACAAAATTGATACACATCTTTCAAGAAAAATAAAATGCCCTTTCTGTTTTGTTACAGCCAACTTGGGCATAGCCCTGGCGGTAAAAGTTGGGCTGTACAAAATATTTCTGGGCATCGCGCTTATTATCGCCAGCATGAAAATAATCCTCGTGCTGGCGTGGGCCTTAGCCATTTCCAAGTACGTCCCAGAGGCGTGGACAAGTTATAAAGATGCGGGTCACGCGCATTCCCACTACGAGAAGTTTGTTGGGATGTTGGAACGGAATCCGTATAGTTCTGTGCCCCAATCCAGCTGGCTTGATTTATTTAGGCGAGGATAATAAATAGGTAGGATATAATTAATAACACGTTGATTCTATTTACGTTTTGATCTAAACCCATAAACAAAGCAATAATTTAATAAAACAATTATTATTGAACTCGAAATCTCTCTCTTTGTCTCTATCGTTCATCGTTAATTTATTTAATTAAGTAAATAATGTAAATGCTAATTAAAAATCAAAATCAAAATTATCTTTATTTGTTTAGTACTAATTTTATAACCACGATAGCCGAACGGTGAAGGGGTCGGTGTGGCCGACTCGAGATACGAGGAACGCGGGTTCGAATCCCACCGCCGCTCGACTATTGTGGTGAGCCCACTCGTAACACAAGCTTATTTAGCTTACCACGAGGGGCTAATGGGACTATTAGTAATTTGGGCAATACAAATTGGTAATAATCTTTTATAAAAAAAAAAAAAAAAAAAAAATTAAATTAGTACTTGCAAATCGTCAAATGCTCTTAAGGAGCCTATACATGTCTCATTCTATTTTTGCCCTACCAGCGCTTCGAGACAAACATTTGGCAAGTGCTGAGATGAAGCGCCGCAACAAACTCAGTCACCACTGTCTGCTGGTTTAAAAATGTATTAAAATACTAAACTGCTTTTTCTCTTGTCCACAGTTCACTTCTTCTACGTAGTAGCGACGAAGCTGTTCATCCTGAAAATCGTCTACGGCATCATATTCTACATTCTCCTAACTAAAGGATGGCACTTCGTTCTATGGTTTATTCACTACCTTAAACAGAACAAACACGAAGAATACATAGAACACGAGCCAATTTATCACGATCACGGCCATGAGATCTATCACGGCTACGGCGCGCCGTATCACGGTGGCGGCGGCCCGTATCACGGTGGCGATGGCCCGTATCACGGTGGCGGGGGCCCGTATCACGGAGACAGTGGCCCGTATCACGGTTACGAGAGTTATGATTACGACAAGAATGGATATGAAACGAATAACTACGTCACCAAAAAGAAAATTTACGACTCAGATGGATCATATTCGGTAAACAAACCTGTGGTTGCAGGGAACAGATATTCAAAATTTTAGTTTCTTGATCTTAAAGATGATAGTGCTATCAACTGTACTTTACTTATTCAGTCATTAGTTATGTGTCTATTTTTTAATATTTTGTGCCAGGCTTTTCTAGTTTTTAAGAAATATGGCAAGAACAAGTGATTTGTATTATATTCGATGAAATATTGTTTGATATGTGTTGGAAAATTACACTCATTAATGATAGTGGGTATGTAACCCAAATTGGAATTTATTGTTTATTCGTTAATTATCTTGGTAGCAATTAACAGACAACCTAATACTACTAACTGTGCTAGTCTGTTGTATTAAATATTTATTTGAATATTTAAGACCTGCTTTTTAACTTTAGTCAACATGTTTTCCGTTTTAATTTATTTCATTAAATATTATTAATTATCGTCAGTAAGAATAAATTCTTTAATTTATTAATCCAGTGTGTTAAGTCAATTAAATAACATAAATAAATAAATAAAGTACATAATTAAATTCAATATAATATACAATAATAATAAACATAATGTTTGTAATAGAAAATAATTTTACAAATTGTACGTACACCACATTAGTTAAGTTCAAAAGGTTACCAATAGATGGCGCTGAGCTTCTTTAGATCGCGCAAGCGTTGTATTTTTTCCGAACTACTTATACCTTTCTTACAAACATTAAATCGCCTCCGTTCTGAGATTGGAGTTTTATTTGAATTTCAACTCAAGGATTTTGGGATCCTGTACCGATATCGTACAAGTTCCTACGAGCCGAAGGACGGTTTTTGAGTGAACGCACAAGTCCTCCCTTGGAAATTGTATGCAAAGTATTAAGTGCCTAGCTGCCGTCTATAAGCTAAAAGGCCGCTAAATGACAAAATCTAATTTTGAGCTAGAGCAGAAAAAAGCGGCAAAATTTTCAAACCGATGCTGCTCAGTATCTATAAACATTTTGTCATGTTGTCATATACCAAAAAAAAAGGTATTTTTTTCAACATTCACATGAAGTAAGTTGATTTTGTAAAATGTTAATAATTAATTCAATAAATACACATTTTCCTTTCTAACCTTGTAAAATTTTAAGGCTTGCTTCAAGTGTGCAGAACTAAATGGCGGCTAAAGAATCATAACTGCTTTTAAGTTATGGATTTATTAATAACTACCAGAAAAGACAGGAAGNACGTAATCAGTGATAAGTAAAGTGCAAGTGAAACCGTGAGTACATTTACGTGTTGCAAAGTGTTAAGTAAAGTAAATTTGACTTAGAATAAATCAGTAGATCTTGGACTTAGAATAATTCGCTTAAAAGTGACGAGACGGGGAATCCACGCCGGTTTTCATAGCGATTGCAAGCTTCAAAAGACTTAGAAAATTTATGCAAAAAGTGGACCGGANATATAATATACAATAATAATAAACATAATGTTTGTAATAGAAAATAATTTTACAAATTGTACGTACACCACATTAGTTAAGTTCAAAAGGTTACCAATAGATGGCGCTGAGCTTCTTTAGATCGCGCAAGCGTTGTATTTTTTCCGAACTACTTATACCTTTCTTACAAACATTAAATCGCCTCCGTTCTGAGATTGGAGTTTTATTTGAATTTCAACTCAAGGATTTTGGGATCCTGTACCGATATCGTACACAGTGTTAATTATTTATTATTTATGTTGAAGTGTAAAATTACTTCAATTAAATTGACAACGGATCAGAAAACGTAGTGTAGGCAGGCCTCACCTCGGTGGATCGACGTGGTGAAGGTCACGGGAACTGGATGTGGGCAGCACAGGACCGGTCGTTGTGGACATCCGTGTCAGGCCTTTGTTCAGCAGTGGACAGAATTCGGTTGAAACTAACGAACGAACAAAATTACTTACAAAGTCTAGAGTAAATTGCAACTAGACGTAGCGTGGGCAGGCCTCCCACTAGGTGGACCGACGATCTGGTGAAGGTCGCGGGAAGTACCTGGATGCAAGCGGCGCAGGACCGGTCTTTGTGGAAATCCTTGGGGGAGGCCTTTGTCCAGCAGTGGACGTCTTTCGGCTGAAACGAACGAAATTTCAACTAACACTCAGTACCAATCACCTAACCATTAAAATGATATAACCTTGGAGGGGGCCGACCCCAATAGGGATACTACGTCGTTTCATGTGCAATCAATCCATTAAGTAAGTGATCCAGTCGTTGCGAGAGGGATATGGGATTAGTTCCGGTGTCTAACGAACTTCAGGATTTCTGGTTGTATAGACAAAATTTCGTTCGCTTGTCTTCGGTCTTGACTGAAAACCGCAGTGTGGTAGGCTGAGACACTAGGCGTTATTAGAGTCAACAGCTATTGGCATCTTGTCTTTACTAAGATCAATTGTTTGGTTTTTTGAGCTACATTTTTTATACAGATACATTTAGTAACCCAATGTAGTAATTACATTGGGTTACTAAATGTTTGTGCCTAGTAGGAGAATTTTGTCAACGTCTTTCTAACCTTGTTCAAGACTCTTTATTAGATAATATAAGCCACTAGAATTCTAAAACTTAATTAGCTTAACACATAGATCAGATCGCCTTACTTGTTTGTGTTTAGCATAAGATTTCAGCAGATGTATACCGCTTACATAATAAATCTTATAATAAAGCCAATATCTTGCCGTGTGGTGATAAGCAACATAACATCGCCCCACCTCAAAGGACAATACGCTTTAGCACTCGACGGGACCAAACCTGCGTCCCGGAGATAAGAGCCCGAAGATACGGCAGTAATCCCGCGGGAACCTGAATTATTTCACGGGCTTGGTTTGACTTGTGACGACAATGGACATAGATAAAGCAAACTCACTACTTTAGTTTTGTATTTAAAACATTTTAAGATGCTTATTTAAATAAGCAGTAGAAGTCTGGGTTTTCTATGTAGCTTAAAGTAGGTATTTGACTGCAATAGCGCCTTATTAGGTGAGATGCAGATTTTTTATGAACTAACCTAGATCTGTTTCTAAATGATATCGTTTTAACACAGATTTCATATATCTACTCGTACACCTTTTAGTAAAGGGTTAATACCTACTTAATAAATATATTTCAAATACAATATAAAACAATAAAATTTAGAAATTTGTTAGTAAAAAGAGCAATGAATCGAAATCCACAAAATAATAACCTAAATTGTCGCGTTGCATGATTATTACAAGTAAAAATTCAGTCAAATTGCCTGTCGAATAAAAAGTAATTTACCGGTCACGCTAATTCCTGTTTTTTTATTACACATTTAGCATTATAACTAGGTAAAATTCGAGCGTAATTTGTGAAGGAAGTTCAAAAGTACACTGGTGTTTAGTTCCCCCAATGACTTCCACATCGCACGGTTGGTAGCGGCCTGCATCCAGCGCCTTCTTGCTACCTTTATCAGGTCGTCGGTCCACGTTGTGGGTGGACATCCCTCATCATTATCGTTATTACCAGCATATTCATTGTTTCATTTAGGTACTCCTAGAAATATAAGTATAGTATATGAGCTTAAGACGCATCTAACAAGTATATCAAGTCCATTTTAAAAATACTTATGAGTCATATTTCAAAATTCATCAAACTTTTCTATGGACATGAATAAATAAAATTGGTCATATCTTAAAACTTATGAAACTTTTCCATGGACATATTAAGCTTGTTCGAAGCGTCTCAGATTCAGCTACCTCCAGTGTCAGTGTGACGTGCTAATTTTGGGACACCCTGTATGTATTATAGTTTAAGGGATATAGTGTTCCCCAGTCGATGAAGCACCTGATGTCGTGCCGTGCCCAAGCAACTGCACTCAGGAGGATTTGATGAGTGCTACTGACAACGCCACTCTTGTGGCGGAGTTTTGGGCTGACACTTTGTAGGTTTGTTGTCGACACGAAAAGAAGAAGAAGGGATAATATTCTATCGGTGCTGCTCTAAATCACCTCTATTGTGCTAACAAAGACCGCACTGACCAACTTTCCAGCTTATGGATTTTAAGAATGAGATTACCAAGAAACTGTTTTAATACATTTTTATTGATTCAGCCTACTGAGTGTTTTGCTGATGGAGTCAAATTAAATTTGAAGTGAATTAAAGTCGTTATTCTGTGGCATTAGCTGATCTTTGCAGATCAGTACCTCTGACAGCCTTTTTGGAAATTAACCTGACATTGCAATGCTTTTATGAGCGCGTTGATGGCCATTTATTTTGTTTTCGTATAGATTTATTCAGTACATACTACATTAATGAAAACAGAAGATTGAAGTTGATTGAAACCACGATAGCCGAACTGTGAAGGGGTCGGGCTGACTGACTCGATATCCGAGGAACGCGGGTTCGAACTCTGTCTGCCACCGCTCGACTATTGTGGTGAGCCCACATTTAGCTTTATAGGTACGAGGGGCTAATGGGACTATTAGTAATTTGTGCAAAATGACTAATAATTTAACAAAAATCCCTTGCTGACTCACTTAAAATTGGGTCAAGCTGTTTGTTCTATGTGCTATTTATGTAGCTATCGTTTATTTCCAGCCGTAGGCAAGCCTAATAGCATTACGATCGGTTTAGACAAGGCGCGGCGTATAGCCCAGGCTTCAAGTAAGCAGATTACGCTGCGTCTGAAATGTGCCACATTATTGGTTCTGAGCAGGATGTGTCGGTTCAAAATCTAGGTTAGACCGAGTAGATTGGTGGAAATGAGAATATACTAAGGCTAGGTCGCACCATCTTACAACTTTAACAAAAGTGAAAAGTTAGTCTAATGCCCGTTTTCACCATCAATCTTTAATTTTTAGTGACCCCTATGTTACCAACACATAACAGGAATTTTGTTTTCATAGGGGTCACTTGTAAAATGTTCTGTGATCGTTTTTCTCTTTAGTAGGTACAATCTTTTATCTTGCAACCGTGTTTAGGGTTTCGAATAAGTTTTATTTTACATTTGTATGGTCAAGGTCATGGTGAGTGTAGGCCGAATTTGCCATATTTTGTCTAGTGAATCCGAAGTGTTCGTACGTGCTCTTGCAGTACTTAGTTAAATGACCTGACGATGATGTTGATACTAATTATTTTTGATCACTGTGTTTGTCACTAAACTGCTTAGGGAAAGATCTTGTCC